TAATTCTGAATGATTTTCTCAAAACACAAGCCGTTTAAATAAGGCAATGCCCAAGTCCGGGGAGGGGGGATCAAATTTTGGAAGTAAAACGCAGTTTAAAGGGCGTTTTACATATTTGAATTATTGTTATGTCAGTTAAGCGCAGAAGAGTTATTGGCGGGCCCACAAAACATGTAAAACGCGGTTTGTTACTGCATTTTATATTAAACGCAGTAATGAACCGCGCTTTATATAGCTGTCTTATCAGCTTCCAGGTAAAACGCGGTATTAAAACGCGTTTTATATAAAACGCAATTCATAACCGCATTTTATATAGAATGGTAACTTTTTTTTTCTACCTAAAAAAATATTTTGAGTGTAAAAGAATCACATTTCGATTCCGGCTCCTTTTAAAAAGACTTAGGGGAAGGAAGAATACAAAAAGAAAAAGAAAGCAAACAACAATATTTATTTCAAACAATCAATTTCACGAATAGAAAATCTAAAGTAGCTTGGTTTGAACAGACCAAATATTAAATATATTGACAGTGATCAAGGAGGTAAGAGAGAAATTTAAAAATAGCTAGATTTGCAATTGGTCGTTCAAAAATAGCCCAGTTTCAAAAGTAATCGAAATTTAGCCACCTTTCGTATAAAGATAAATCTGAGCAAAANCATATGTGAATATTTATTTATAAAAATTAATTATTTAATTTACAAACTAACATATAAAATTATAATAAAACTAACAGATACAAGAAATCAGGATATGTTGGTGCTACTGGGTCGCAAATATCGAGCCTGGAACCCATATGTGAATTTTTAATAATTAAATATTGTATAATTATAAAATTTAATTATTTAATTTACAAACTAACATATAAAATTATAAAACTAACATGTAATTAATGTTGTTTAATTTACAATAGACGACATGGAGGTGCCGCCTATTCATCCCGGACCTTCCAGCGATGAGCTACTGTCTTTACAGGGCGATCATAGTCCCGCCCACATATGGGAGGGAGAGTTACTAACCCAGACTCTCCGCGTCAGGAGAGACTATGGCCTCATTTGTTTTTTTTTTAAGATTAAGACGTCTGAATCTGAATACACATACGAATATCAAGATGTGTATTAAGATTAAGACATCTGAATCTGAATACACATCTAAATATATTAAGATGTATATTAAGATCTGAATACTAAATAATTAAGACTGTTTGATTTTAACATCTGAATGTATAAAATTTATCTTTAATTGAAAATTAATAAACATAAAATTCAAATGAAATACTAACTAATCTAATGTTCTATCAATCGAATATATAGTTTTTTAAAATATGGTAGTTGTTGGTGGTGATGGCTAACAGGTGAATGCCGACTAGAGACGGTGGTTGTTGGTAGTTTTGGTTGATGATGGTGGTTCATGCTAGTAGCTAGTAGTGATTGGTAGTGGTGGCGATTATGATTGAGGATGGTGGTGATAGTTAATACTGGCGGGTGGTGGTAGTAGTTGTGACTGAGGAAGGTGGTGGGTGGGTGGTGGTAGGCTATAATAATGGGCACTGCTAGCTGTGGTTGTTGATGGTGATGGGGTGGTCAGTTGTGGTAGTTGAGGTGGATGGGTGTTGATTATGGATGAGAATGATGATGGTCGGAGTGGAGGGGATAGTGTGTGGTGATGGTCGATAATGGTGGCGGCTATGATTGAGGATGATGGTGGCGTGGTGGTGTTGGAGGTGGTGGTGGCGGGGTGGTGGCGGTGGTTTAGTATGGTGGTGGTGGTGGCATGGTGGTAGTTGATAATGATAGGCGGTGACGGCAGTTAATAATGAATATATGATAGCATCTTAATGAAATTAAGTGTCTGTTATAGATCTTAATCATACAGACCTATTCAGACCCATTAAGTGGTTGTGAAGTAAAAAAACAAACACACTTAATGATTAAGATCTGAATAATTAAGGTTCAGACTTTAAAAACAAACGTACTTAATGTCTGAGATCTGAATGATTAAGATTCAGACCTACATTAAGTGCAAGCAAATGAGGCCTATGTCTACTACGAGTTCTAAAAGAAAAACTTAATAAAAAAATTAGTTTTATACAATTACACTTCAGAAAGTAGTTTCCCCACCCCACACTTATATTATGCATAGTCTTCGAAGCATGATCACAGAGAAAAATATTAAAACAAGGGTGAGAAATACTCCCTAAGGCCCTCTCGGGTTAGCTCGAACATGATCCTCAATCTTTAGAGTTGGGGCGACCCCACACTTAAGCTCAAACATGCTCCTCAGCTTCAACTTTGGGTACTCAGGCTTCCCCTACTCTGCAAAATAAAAACAACACAAAACTTGACACTAAAAGAAAAAAATAACTAAATAAAAGATATACATGCTGGGTTGCCTCCCAACAACCGCCTTATTTATAGTCGTGGCACGACTCTGCTACTCTGCTCAGGCTAGGCGCTTTCTCTTCTTCTTTCTCCCATGAAGTCTAGCCTTTTTGCACGCTCTTAGAGGGTCTCCTTTTTCATCTCTGGCTCTTTTCTCAATCATCTTTACACACACAGCTTGCAGCACCACCTCTTCTAACTCAGTTGTTCCATCTGGATCACTACAATTCGCATAAGGACTCTGCTCTATCCCCTTCAATTGTACCACAATAATCATGCACAAGTCCTCATAATGCTTAGGGAGCTTAAGTGCCTTGTACACATTAAAAGTTATTTCCTCATCGTCAACTCTCATCTTCAACTTTCCTTCCCTCACATCAATAATCGCTCCACCAGTAGCTAAGAATGGTCGCCCCAAAATAATGGGTACTTCCTCATCTGCCCCGTAATCAAGAACAATAAAATCAACAGGAAGAATAAACTTCCCCACTCGAACTAACACATCCTCAATAATTTCTTTTGGCATAACTAGTGACCTATCTGCTAACTGTAAAGTGATTGTAGTAGGTGTAAGCACCCCCAATCCGAGTTGCTTGAACAAAGAGGATGGCATCAAATTTATACTAGCCCCTAAATCACACAGGGCTCTACCAACTTCTTGTTTTCCAAGAGATAGAGGAATTGTGAAACTCTCGGGATCTTTCAACTTAGGAGGAAGTTTACTCTGAACTCTAGCACTGCACTCTTCAGTAAGTGCAAGTGTTTCAAACTCTGTATGTCTTCGCTTGTTTGTCACAATATCTCTGAGATACCCTGCATACTTAGGCACTTCCTGCAAAGTTTCCACCAAAGGCAAATTCACATGCACCTGGCTCAAAATATCTAAGAATTTCTTATACTTAGCATCATCTTTTTGCTTCTGCAGCCGTTGTGGAAATGGAGGAGGTGGCCTTGTCACAATTACTTGATTTGATCCCTTGCTCTCTTTCTCATTCTCCTCAACTGGCTTGGGAACTAATCCTCCTTCAGGACTAGCCGTATACTTCTTTTTCTTTGGAGCTTCTTCTAATGCTCTTCCATTTCTCAAGGTAACCGCATTGACTTGAGCTTTAGGATTGGGCTCAATATCACTTGGAAGAGCTCCAACTGGTCTGGTGTTTTGAGCACTGGCAAGTTGTCCCATTTGGCACTCCAAATTTCTCATTGTTGCGGCTTGGGCTTGCTGCTCAGCCATAAATTTCTGAGCGAGGGCTTGCTGTTCAGCCATCACTTTTTTCAACATGTCTTCAAGGTGACTTGTTGGACTCGCTTGTTGTTCGGCCTGAGGTGGTTTATATTGCTGTTGAGGTGCTTGAGGCCTGTATTGATTCTGAGTACCTTGGTCCCCCCCCCCCCCCCAGAGAAGTTTGTGTGGTTCCTCCAGTTGGGATTGTAAGTGTCCCATACTAATTTGCTTGGCCTCGATTTACAATACCCACAAAATATACAGACTCTGGATTTGCTGGGCAAAGATTGCTCATGTGACCTTCTCCATAGACTTCACAAAATATCTGAACCTGTTGCACTGGCTGAGCTTGTTGCTTATTAATAACCAAGGTCATCTGATTAACTTGGTTGGTTAATGTGGAAATCTGCACTGACAATGCAGAGACGACATCTAACTCAAGAACCCATGCGGACTTTTGCACAGTGTGTCTGCCCATCTCTCCTTGCCAATCCGGAGTTCTTTTGGAGAATTTGTTCAATAATGCATATATCTCGTCAAAGCTTTTCTCCAACACTTGACCTCCAGCTTCAGCATCTACCACAATCTTTGTTTCAAGATGTAGACCTTCTATGAAAGTGTGAGCTAATATTCTCTTGTCTGATTGTGATGAGGACAATCTCTGATTAGCCCCTTGAACCTCTCCCAAGATGAGTATAAATACTCTCCCGCTTTCTGTTTGAAGGCAACTATCTCACTTCTGATCTTTGCAGTTTTGCCTGAAGGGAAGAACCTTGCCAGAAATTTCCTTGCCAAATCATTCCATGAGGTAATAGAATTAGCTGGTTATGCCTTCAGCCATCGCTTTGCTTTGACCAACAGTGAGAATGGAAAAAGTGTGAGCCTCACTTAGTCTGGAGTGACTCCGTTAGTGATATAAGTATCACTAGTCTCCAAGAAGTTCAGGATATGCTATTGTGGAACCTCGTGGGGAAGACCCATAAACTGCCCATTCGCATGAAATAGCTGGATCATGCTTTGTTTCGGCTCAAAGTGCCCAGTGATTCTGGGCTTCACAATGCTAGAGGTGACATCGGCAATACTGGGCATCGCCACCTCCTGAACAGCCATTTGTTGCTCCTCTGCCATGTTCCCAGGAAATTGAACGAGTGCCTGAATATTATTCGTATCCCTAGCTTCCCTCAACCTCCTGTAAAATGTTCTCTCATGTTCAGGGTCAAAGCCTTGAAGTCGGTCCTGGCTTCTGACCCTACGCATTCAATCAAAGTTCCCGGGATCTTAGCAACAATCAAGTAACGTTAGACTTGACAAAATAAACAAAATAAGCAAAAACTAGAAAGTAGTTAATATTCAAGTCCCCGGCAACAGCGCCAAAAACTTGTCGCTCCCAAAGCACACGCAAGTATACGCGATCGTACAAGTAATAAAATGATAAGTCAAGTGTCGAACCCACAGAGACTTGTATCAACTACCCACTAAAATCACCACGATTATTATTCAGTCAAGCCACAATCAAGTTGTAGAATGTGATTATACTAAACTATAATTCTAATTTCTGACTAAATTACCAAGCAATAAAATGAATGTTATGTATTCAATAGAGACAAATATTCTAGGGTTGTGATCGATTCACCAATGCTATTGTGTTCTAGTTAACTCTCCCTCTCATATAATTCACTCATGGTTGCTAATTAATCGATAATTTCTCTCATAGCCTTCTCCCGAAGTACAACTCGCTTATTCAAAATAGATTAACGCCTATATTCCTATGAAATCAATCTATTACGAACGCATTAAGATTATGATATTTAATTAAGAACGGTGACTAGGTATATTCCTATCATAACCACAAATCCGCCCCCCCCCCCCCCCTAAGGGTTAAGATCATGCTCTCTTCAATTCTTCTCTAATC